AAAAGACGGCACTTAATATTAGGCTTCCGGTCCCGGAGAGGTTAAAGATTATATGATTATCGTGTTGTGTTTTGAAAATATATTAGAAATATTACTCAATATATTTCATACGTTTTTCAATCCTTTAGATACAAACAAGGGCTTCATTGATTTATAACAGCGTTATAAATGTTGTAGGTTATGCAATAATATTTCCCATTATTAGCTTAACAGAGATAATATTGACTATAGATTATCAAAAGCAATCTGTTCCAGAAACTTGTTATTACCAACGTCTTAAAACATCCTCCATAAAATTTGTAACAAATATTAGAACATCTGTCTCTCTCGTCGCAGTAAGTTTAACAAAGAGAAACCGAGAGGCAGACAATCTAAATCTAAAACATTTTGTTTAAACTTGAGACCCTCTTGATACATAATACCGCAATTAAAATTTGTATCATTCCTCTCTCTTTCTCTTTCTCCCCTCTCGTTCAAGATCATTCGTGTATTTCAAGATACAAAATGTTTTATTTTCAGCGTTCGTAATCTTATATAATGTTTTCGTATAATATCCTCGCGATGAGAAAAACTCTTCGAAACTCGCGAAAATGATTTTCCACTTCGTGTATCACAGTGGGAAAGCATTAGTCGCGTGTCAGTTGGGTCAAAAACAATCGCGCGGGAGAGAATATTCTTTATTAGGGAAGTTTTGCGACGAGGAGTTAAGGAGAAGTTAAGAACTCATCGGCTTTGTCGCCATAAAACCATACTAATACTCTTTTCCTCTCTCTTTCGGGAGCGCTGAACCCAAGAATCCAATCCCACTTTCACGCCTTTTTGATAACGCGACCGCCGTCCGTGGGTATATCACAGGCTCATCGCTCAGCTCGTTAACTTCTCGCTCGGAACCGCGCGAAGAAGCGACTTCTTTTTTAGCATCACACCGGTGGCATTGATTTTAGATAAAGTCAACGAACTGACACGAATTTCCGACGCCAATGGCAACTACGGAGTGGACCGGTACAAAAGAATCCGTACTGCTGTTTGGACAAATTAAATAGCATTGACTGCTATCTCACGCGTTTACCACCTGTGACCTGCTTTCGATCTATCTCTCGCATTTCTTTTTTCTCTGTTTCTCTCTCTTTCTTTTATAGCCGCACGCTCGTTTTCAGCTGTCAGACTCTATCGCAATCTATCAAATTCCGCGACAAATAGTAAACCTCGCGTTGCCGAGATTTGCGCGAGATTTTTCAACGCAATACTTTACAATTGCACTATTGCACAGGAGGGATAGAAAGGGACAACTACCTATCTGCCCTACGACAAATCAAATGGAAGATCGATCGATATCGCGTATCTATCACGTATCCTCACTTGAGAATATAATGATAGACGAAGGGGGACCATCGAAGGCGATGGGGTGAAGTGACTGTGTAGTAATTTTTCGTAAAGGTCAACGAGAGAGCTGCGAAGAATACTGAGCGCGTAGCGGTATAGGAAATATTCTTGTACGACGGGCCGTCGTCGTACGGATATCGATTCAACTCGGTATCTTTCCGAGAGAAAAGTGCCAGAGCAAGTTGTTTGCACATTACATTGAAGTGGAAATCGGATGCAAGCGAGAACGAGGAAAAAGAGCAGCGCGCAATTGAATTTTATTTTGCTTATTACGCCGAGAGGCAATGGAGTTGTTCGATTACTCTCAATAATCATGCAGGACGGAGTCGGCTAAATAGATTTGTCGATTGTTTCGAGGGCAATTGCGACTACGTCACCGGCATCTAACGTGTCGTTTATTTCACTTTGTCATTTCCGTCGTTTTTCCCATTACTCACTATCGGCCACCGTCCGCGTCCACCTTCAGTTCATTCTTTACCTTATTGTGCCGCGGTACCGCGAGGTCACTTGAGAAGGATGTAATTCCCGCGTACTCCCGCTCCGAGGTATTCCATCGATCTATTTGCTCGGCGGCTGGTAGAGCAAGCTCGGAGCATATACGTTGCGAGAGCGCGGTAATCTAAAATTCGCCCGCGCCCAATTTGCACGCGAGATTAAGCACGCGGGAAAGCGGTCATCGCGTCCGTTATCGCGGGTTTATCATGAAATATTACGCACGCTCGCTATGGAGAAATTGCGTCGCGATGTTGATGGAATATGACGGACGCGCGTGGGAGGGGGGGGGGAGAAAAAAAAGGAAATAAAATCGCCCGTAAAACCGCGGGCGTCAGATCCCTTTATCCACCATTTACGTCCGAAACGTTTCGAGCGAAACAATCCGAGAGATTGGACGACAGTTTGTTACACCGTTATAAAATCATGCTCGCCGTGTTCTTCTTTTTTTTTGTTACTAACAATATCTAAGTGATAATCGCCGCGAGATCGGCGAACAAGCTCACGCGAGCGACGCGCTGAAAGGCAAACAAATTGCTCAACAAGGAACTACAAAGACCATTTTGCACGATCTAAAATTTTACGCGAAAGAATTTTCGCTCAAATTTTTGGTATATTACGCAGGATCTTTTATCTTAAAGATTTTATCCTATTTTTTATATGATAGATCTAAAATTATGAATAAAACTCTGTTGCACATTCGAGTGCAAATTATAGTTTACGGATCTAAGCACTTCGAGAAGAGAAATGCACGAGGGAGAAATTTACATTGACGTGACACGGAGAGGAACAAGAGCCAGGATGGGTAGTATAAATTGCGAGCATTTGCTGATTCCAGCAGAAAGAATAAATATAACGGCACGACTATTCTTTGTTGCGCCTCAAATTAAATTTGATGTGACACAGCTAACTGCTCTCTGGTACTGTAAAAGAAAATCGTCGGCAAATCTACAGAATGCTTCACGATGGTTCTGAGGCACTTTGCATAATGAAAATAATAACAAATTGATGAAAGCACTCGCGCATTTGTTATACGATAAGCAGTTTACTGAAATTTTAAATCTGCGTAAGTGGTTTATGCTCGGAAGAGAAATTTAGAGCATTTTAACTCATGTAATCCAGTATCTTTACTTATTCAAGCGAGTTCTTGATTTGTACAGAATTTATAACGCCTTCAAATAGTTAAATATGAATGATTAAACGTTTTTACTATCTTTGAATACGATTCTTTCTTGCTACATTACATGTGAATTTTATGACCTCCTATATATATATATAGGAAATATCTTAAAAATGTATAATATCGAAATAATTTAAGACGCATAAAAATAATACTATCTTATTTCTTAATGACAAATGGCTTCTATATGAAGTGTTCTATAATTACCGTACACTTTAATAAGGTATTCCAGAGATTAATTAGAATCGAAAATCCTGATACAAAAGTCTCGAAGTCATACCGGTCTATAATTGGATTTAATTCTTTTGATTCTCACTGATTCTCACTGAATTTAATGTGAAACGAGCACAATAATTGATCGTACTTCCAAGAACTTGGCAAGAAATCCAGATTACTTGTTTCAGAATCAAACGCAAGAAGTCTGCTGAAAGATTTAAGAGACAATCGGACATTTCTATGACTTGCTACAAAACGCTCTCTTGCTTATTGTTTGTTATAACTTTTACATTTACACACAATGACACCGATATCAAATTATTATTAATTTTATTTTAATTATATATGCATCAGCATATAGAATCAAGACAACTTGGCTATCGCATCGATTTGCATAATATTATGAGTGACATTTAGACCGATTGAGCGATACAGTAATATCTCAATTTCCAGAATTACTCGACAGATTATTAATTTTCTGTTACATAATATTATTAAATTAATCATTACGTTTAACTAACATTGTATTACTCTACAAAACCGTATTTTTTTTATTATAAATATATAATTATATGATACTGACATAAATGTGACACGTTAAAAAATTTTTTTTTAACTGTTGTGAAAACAATTAAAATTGTTTTATAAAAATAAATATATCTTTTCTAATCTAGCGTATGTGTGTGTCTACTAATTCGCTATAATGTCACGCTTTGCTATAAGAAACGATCACCTTAATCGAATGGCGCTTAATCCGTTAGCCGCTTAGCCGAATAGGTTTTTCATTGAAATTTCGGCCTCAGGTGTGGTGAAAAGCAATGCTGACAAGGTTCGCACGGCTCCAATCCACCTCTTGCTAGCCTCGCGAATATCCGAGCTTACTGACACTGAACGAATACGAGAGAAAAGGGGGCGGATAATGGATTTCTAAGGACACCGAACGACGAGGTGGACGGAATTGAAGCCTCGCCTCGGTTTGATTAACGTTGCCCTTTCGACGTGCATTATAATTCTATCCCCAATAAGAAGATAATCATCAATACTCCACAAGAGTCACGTCTGTTTTGCTAAAATTAATATTGTTAAGATAAAACTTTAAAGCGCGATTATAATTGGGAGTTGATTCTGGCATTGTTGACACTTTATTCGTGGATTATAGTTCAAACTCCTTTCTGTTTCTGTATATATCACCAGTCTCTCGCGTACGTTAGAAGGGTAATTAATTTCGCCCTCAAAATTGCTCTCTGTAAGGAAGCGGTAGTTGGGCGAGCAAACGAGAGAAAGAGGAAATTACGTACAAACGTCCCTTTGGTCATCTCGATCTCTTTCCGCTACTTATTTTCTGACACACGAACGGAACAGTTTTACCAGACATCACGATGAAAGAAAAAAGAAATAGGAATAGAGTAGAGTGGGCAAAAAAATTTGGTTTGAAGTAAAAATCGATAGCCTTTATTCCTAGAAAATTCATCTTTCTGCCCGCAATTTTGTTACTTCCTGTTTCACCAATAATTGCGATTTTTTGTATTTCAAAAAGTTTAGCCCGCAAATAAATTCAGCGCACAGCAAATATTGAACCAGAAGTCACGTAATTAATTAGTCTTAAGTGACGAGTATTGATTTTTGTAACATCAAAGGTACATGAAGATAAAATTCACTAAACGATCCAATTGGAATCTGATAGCGTGTCACGCTTCCGGTGGCTAATGGCAAAGTTTTTCGATTACAGGACACGATATTAAGAGAATAGCTATCTACACTCCCGAAGATGAGAAACTGATAATGAACTGTCCAGGATGTGAGGCTACAAGATGGCCCGGAGGGCAAGTACCAGCGGCTCGTAGAGTCTTCCGGTACGTATTATCAGCGTTATCACTCTTGATTGAACCGTTCATCGTTATTAGGTAAATCAAATTTTGATCATCCTAATTTGCATGTTGATAAATTGACGTGTCTAATCTAAATACTTGAGTAATCATATTTGAAGAGTTCGATGTAATAAAACACCGAAAGGTATTAGCACTGCTCGTAGCGCATATTTTCATTACGTCTGATCTTATTGTTATATAGAAAGAACCGTTTTGCTGAAGTATCTAAAAATTTAGCTAGATACAGATCTGAAAATAATTATAGTGATCGCTGATGTATGATGATAATACTGTAAAAAATGTTGACATTTTAGCAATCAGCTTGAGTGTTCTACATAATTATTTTGTAGCAACAAAATTATTTTCAGATCTGTATCCAGCTAAATTTTTAGATACTTCAGCAAAACCGTTCTTTCCGTGTACAATCTGGATTTAATAAAGCGGAATCAAGATTGATCTAATCTTTCCATGCCTAACGAGGTGTTAATGAAATAATCACCGGCTACGTATGGAATATCTCAAATCATCACCACCGTCAAATATTTAGCTAGTTTCGACGCACGTTTGCATACGGCAATAATTCGACAACGATAATTACAGCTTGTAGCGAGTTAGCGTAAATGTATTGTACAGCAATAACGGTATAGCAATTATAACGTCGCGGAGCACCGTATTAAATTAATTTATGCCGCTCGATAATTCATCAAGTTCGAGGGTAACAGGCGGAGTGATCGAGTTTGTTATTATTGCACACAGATTACGAATGGTGACAGTGGCACCTGCCGCGTTTCTCGCTATCACCTGCATCGCCAGCGTCGGTGTCACCTTAGCGCTCGCTTTTCTGGCCTTTAATCTTCACTTTCGCAAGCACAAGTAAGTTCGATATTCAATACAAACAATGTATCGTCATACAATTGATAAAATGGAGAATATCACGGAAGGGCTCATGGAACATCTAAACAATTTTATTACAATATTTATACTCGGTGCAAATACGCTCTCTGAACGTTTATCGATTATTCTTAAAAAAGAAAAGAAAGAAATTGGTGGAATAATTTTAGTAAATGTAGAAGTATATGCAACGTCGTCGATTTTACGAATCAAAATAAATGAAGACAGCTCACTTATGGGGATATCGCGCTCGTTACGTACCCATGAATCTGTATGCAAATCGTTACGATATATCACTCAAGTCCATTATTCCTGGATATTGGCAGAAGCATAAAACTGTCGAGCCCGAGGCTGAATAACATGGCAGCGGTTGGTTGCGGCCTGGTCTACGGTGCCGTTATACTTTTGGGACTGGACGACGCCACGCTGCCCGACAGCGATGGTTATTATCCTACAGTGTGCAAGGTGATTAACACCCATTACGAGGAATTAACGTCCTCGACGACGCGATCAATATTATCGGTGTCGATTTGACTTATACAATGTATGCTAACGTTCCGCAGTAATCCCGAACGCTTTGCATTAGAAACATTACGTTGAAGGTGCGTTTTATTTTTAAACAAATCGGACCTGAGAATCTCTTTGAGAAAAGTGATTGAAGTTGGGAAAAAGCACAATTTTTTTACACGCAATAATAACGATGCAGTTATTACTGATTGGTCGAGAAATAAATGCGCGATAATTACGCATTTTACATGTTTTCTCAGCGATCATTACAAAATGCTCGTTCCTATAATATTTCGCAATTGCAATAAATGCTCTCTTCTAAAGACAAGGATAACATGTGCCGTTCGTTTCTTATCAACAGGCAAGAGTGTATTTGCTGTCGGCCGGCTTCTCCCTGGCTTTCGGCTCGATGTTCACAAAGACTTATCGGGTACACAGAATCTTCACGAGAAGCCGAAGCGGGGTCGTCAAGAACAAGGTTAGCGACATGCGAACAATAATTTTCCGCTCCTCCATTCCGAAGGGCGACACGTAACGTGATCAGACGCAAAACCAATATGCCAATATTTGTGTCGATGAAAAAAAAAAAAAACACCGAAAAGTTATACGCGCTTCCGCGCGCTCGCGGAATCGATGCTACGGTCAATAAATTTTTGTAAATCACAGTTATCGCTTCGTGCTTTCCAGCTGCTCCAGGATACCCAGCTGATATTCTTAATCTGCATGCTTCTGGTGATCGACGTCGTCGTGGTGACCCTGTGGGTGATTCTGGACCCGATGCAACGTCACCTGCAGAATCTTACCCTGGAGATAAGCCCGCAGGATCGGGGAGTGGTGTATCAGCCCCAGGTAAAACCAGCGCGAAACGCACGCGGGACTCGCGTCCGGCTCGTTTCGTCATTTCCAGGCGAGGCTATATAGCCCGAATGTCACGGTTACGCCACAGTAATTATCGTTAACGATCCACGGCCAATTAACTCGTGCCTTTATTTGCCTTTGCACAGGTGGAGGTGTGCCGCTCGCAGCATACGAACGGCTGGTTAAGCGCTCTCTACGTTTACAAAGGTTTATTACTCGTAGTCGGGGTCTACATGGCCTGGGAAACAAGGTGAGCTTAGGGATAAAGACGTTTCCAAGTCCGTGGATATTGCAAAGCAGGCCAGCTCCCCCGATAATAGAGATTAATCTATTGCATACTTCATGCCGCGCGTTTTGATAGCGAGCCAGCTATTAATTTCTCTAATATCTGTATAATTCCCGCAGGAAATGTCGCTTAAATTCTGTTTATCCTTTGATTGATCGTAAGCGGTTTAAATAAAACAGTTCGTCGAGAGACATGTCACATTCCTTCCGTTAGAGTTAAAGTCGGTTGCATCATCGAACAGTACGCCAGTTTGCATGGAGAATATGGAGATATATACGAGCAAATCGCTGATGATTTCAGGCACGTAAAGATTCCAGCCCTAAACGACTCGCAATACATCGGTATGAGCGTGTACTTCGTAGTTATCACGTCGGGCATCGTCGTAGTGCTAGCCAACCTGATGCCCGATCGCGCGACCCTGGCCTTTGTCACGATCACTGCCCTGATTCTGGCCTCGACCACGGCGACCCTGGCTCTCCTCTTCCTGCCCCAACTGGCGAATATCCTGGCGGGGGAGAGGGCCGACCCGGTCGTGCAGAGTCTCGGTCTTAAGATCGAGTGCAACACGCGTAGATTCGTTACCGACGACAGAAGGTGAGTGTGACCGGCGAGAATCGTCTTCGCGACCTAAAACGCGGAAGTGAAGACAACAGAAAATCAAGAGTCGCGGGAGAAAAGACAGTAAAAAGCAATGGTATCGTTCTATAAGTTCTCACTGCGGGAGATAATCGATGAGGCGGATCGACCTCCAAGACGATATCCCTTTATATCTCGTTTACCGGTTAGAATTCCCTCGCGTTCTTTCTACGGATGCTGAGGGAGAACTCGCATTGCGTCGTACGATTTTCTGGCAACAAACATATCCGTTTCGCAAATAAAATGTTTGCGAAATTAAGTGGCGATTGAGTTGCTGCGTTATTTGCTACTGAACGACCCGAGCAAAATGGAAGACTTGGTTTACGTTTCTGTCGCACTAAAACATACATCTTATACGTACTTTTATATCGACAAATTCCTAAACATAGCGTACGATATAAGAACACACATTCATGCCATAAATATGATCTTATATCGCACGTTATATGTTTAGGAATTTATCGATATAAAAGTACGTATGAGATGTGGATTTTAAATGTATGTACGTATAGGATGTTTGCATCTGTGAAAATTGTCTAAATAATTTAAAGTTTGGCATTCCTTTAAAAGCAATAATCGTATTTTGGACAATAGGGAACTGCAATATCGCGTGGAGGTGCAAAACCGAGTTTATCGTCGTGAGATGGCACAGCTGGAACTGGAATTGGCCAGATTAGAGAAGCAATTGGCGCAGGAGCCGGTGGAGCCGTCGCGCACTTCATCAAGCGCCTCGATCCCGCAACGAAATCCAAGTATCGGGGGCGGTTTACCTCTATTGTTGCTCAGTGTCCTGCCGCCGGTTATTCCCCGAGCCAGCTGGCCCTCCGCGGATTCGTCCGGTAAGTGTAAATCGCGGCATCGCGATACGGAGATTCGCCGTGCAAAAACACAATTCTATTCCAGTCTTTACTCGACTAAAACGTTTGGATTTATTTTGAACGCTCAATCTTCGTGACTTCGTTGAATCGATCCTTCTTAAAGTACAGTTAGCTTAAAGTATACAATCGCGACAGCTATTTGTCTAACTGTACCTTAAAAGCTACCGAAACGTCTTTCCGTATTATGTAGAAAGAAGTAACATAATATTGATTGGCCGACAGAGTCAATTCATATACAGGGTGTACCATAAAGACCGGGTCAACTCTTAAGGATAGATTCCTGAGATCATTTAGAGACAAAAATCCTAATGCCAAAATGTCGAGGCTGCTACAGTGTCACGGACGTTGCATGTCAAAACAGTTCTTGCACACTTTACTCAAAACTCAATAGAAATATTTGAAATTATTTACTTTATTTCTTTGTACACTGTTCGCAAGACCGACGAATATCGGGATGACAATTTGGCAGCCTCGACATTTTGGCATTAGGATTTTTGTCTCCAAACGATTTCAGGAATCTACCCTTAAGAGTTGATCCAGTCTTTACGGTACATCCAGCATTCTACAGAACGATAAATTGACCTTTATTATTCTAAACTTGGAAGCTATAAGGTTCGCATTGATTCTATGAAGGACCGAAACCTTCTTCGTCGAAATACATTATTTATTATAAAAAACGTGAAGTTGAAGTTTGCTTGATGTAAATAACGTGAAGGTGCAACTGACAGGTCGAAACGAAAGCACCAAAAGACAGGAATAGACGTGTCAAAACTTGCACGACGAATCGAGCTTTTGCTACCAGGAAAGAAGGAAGGAACCATAAGTATTAATGTTTTTTCTCGCTTCGTCGTTCTCTTTTTCTGTCGATCAGATGTCCGAGGAAGGTGACAGAAATCCCTTTATTGCACGCAAATTGCCTGAAAAACGTTTACTCGCGCTCGCCTGCCTGAGTTGAAGCGTGAGGAAAGAAGTTCGCGAGATTTAGAAGACGTTAATGTAGCAGGAATAAGCGTCTCATTGAAATTCTTTCTCGAGATTTCCCCTTTTTCGTAAATTAGATTTGACGAAGCGATCATCGCTTCCACAGAGAAAAGTAACATATGCATGCGCAAATTTAGTACTCGAAACACTATCGCAGGAATTAGGTGTACAAAAACACATTTCTGAAGCTTTGTACATAACAAGCTTTGTACATAACGCGAAACAAAAACTTAACAAGGCAAAGTAGCAATAGTCAATCCTCTTTAAAATAGAGTTTTAGAAGTATTTAACTTTAGACTCGATCAACAGTCGTACAAGGCCATGTCGAGTAGCTGTAGGTGTTCAATCCCGCAGAGAGAGGAATAAGTCCCTTTCCATTCTCATTTTAACCGATCTATTTTTTTTTTATACAGATCGCATGGACAAAATGCAATAATCACTCGCGATTATTTTATTCGCTCATGTCGTCTCGACGCGCGGGAAACACGTGTGCGCTCGTAATTGATTTTATTTATTTCTAACTGTCGAACGCGCGCGCACGCCCTGACAAAGGGAAACTTTCCTCGAAAACTCGTCGCCTCACTTTGCCATTTGCAGCGCAAATACCTACCGCGCGTTTCCCTCCGTGGAATATCCGCTTTCAACTGTCATGCACATGCATATTTACGCTCCGATAATTCACCGACGGCGACACACCGCGCCGGAGCGCAAGACATGTATCGAGTACCCCGCGTGTTCTCCGCGCGTGTACCAGCAATTATCGTTAGCATCAACTTGACCGTGATCGCGAGAACATCAATTGAGTGTTATTCGCGAGCAAGAGAGCTCGCTGGTCGAAGAGGGTTGATGGGTTTCCGCGGTACGCATATCGATTCTCGTTCCGGGATTTCGCATTACACTCGTGTCTCCAAAATCCCGGAGAGACCTCTCGATAAGTCCAGACAATTCCGCACACGAGTAGGTACGTCGTACGCCGAGTACGAGTACGAGTCTGCACGCCGACTGCACGTTCCACCCCAATATTTCTGAATATCTACCGTGGCCGAATCGAACGAGGTCAAAGGCGCTGCGCGCATCGGTTTATGTGTATGCATGCACACGGGGTGTTCTCTCTCACCACTGAGAATCGCGAATGCTTTGAAAAGTTTCGAAACCGTTTTCTCGGAAAAAGACGATCCAGCGACCCAATTTCGAATATCGCTTCCCTATTTGAATGCAAGTTGGCTATTGATATTAACGCAATTCGCGCTTTAATTATATTATATAAGATTTTTCAGAAAGGATGACTCGTGTTGGGAAAAAAAAGTGTAACCACAATTTTTATTACGGAAATATTAGTTTCTGATCTATCAAGATATTGTCGCGGGAAAAATATATTCTTCGCTAATGATATGAGATACCCATCAGTATACATCCCTGCATTACGTAAATTACATACTGCAATGTGTACATGATATATGACGTACTCGCCACATATCGCAATATGCTCGCGTACTGAAACTCAGATGACGGAAATATTTAGTAATTATCGATCTCAAGTTCCTTCATATGTCAAGGTATCTCTGCACTGTCACTATTTGAAACGAACGAACATATGCCTCGCAAGCTGATTAAAGATGCAAATCTTCGTGCGCTTTCCGCCAACTTTGAATTTACACATAACTTACAATTCGCAATATTATCGGCCTTCTGAATCTCTTTAGTAGATAATTATGACAGATTTCGAATGGTATATATAGTATGTTAGAGAATGTTTCAGCTTGTCGTTCTAAAAATGCACGAGAAAGGAGGCTAGCCAGACACGTCTTAACATTTTACTCTACTACGAGAGACATATATACATATCTTCCCTCCTTCTTCTTCTATTCTAAAGACGATTTTCATCCTGAAGCTGCAGTCGTAATCTGATTAGGACGTTACACGGGATTAAGAAAACACTGATCTCAATATGGAGCAAAAATTTGGAGCAGTTGCGTCGCGACAAATCTGAGATGAACGATTGTCTAGTCAGCGATATTGTATTATTAATGTTCGGAGATCAAGATATAGTATATCTATCGCTCTAAATGAATAACGCAAATCGATTAAAATAGGTATAAAAAAATTTCTGGTTCGTGTTCTCGAAGAATTATCATTCTTTTGGGATAATGAAGGAATAATATTCCCTGTTGCGCGCGCGCGCGGACATTCATTGGATTCATGACTCACTTCCGCATAAATGTCGTCTAAATTCGCACGTGCTTTCGCTTGTGCGAAATGCCGACGGCTAGGCAGAGATCCAGGCTCCAATAATGCGCGTCCATCATAATGATCGCTCGACACATAATGGTGGTTTCGCGTCATGTACGAGTTTGGCCCTTGTTGAAATTAGGCATACGTCGCGGTACCGTAGCATTTAGCAGTCAACCGGATCTGGAGCCGGGCGATCCCAGACAAAGCCTGGCCGACCTTTACAAGCTACACCGTCGCCGGGAGACCGAAGGCCCGAACCGGCTGGGCGTTTTTCAACGACTCTTCAGTCTCTTCGGCAGCAGGCCGAGCAGCAGGAAAACCTCCACAGCGTCGTTCGGCGGTAAGAGAAAGCGTCGGAGAATAAAAGAATAAAGGCACCTTACACCTTAAAGCGATGTGATATAGACACGATTTAACTGTATATGTATATTGCAACGTCAGAAGCGAGTAAATTTCTCTCACAAAGGAACATTTTTACAAAAGCACGTAACAACCAAGGCAGAAAATTTAAAATAAAGGTAAAAAATGAGAGAATTGGGTCCGTTCGCGTATTATATCGAAATAATTTTGCTTTTTGCTCAGTCGTGAAATTTTCACTTGCGAGAAGTAAATGTAAATTATTTAGATTCGATGCACATTGCGGTCTATAATCGTTCGTAAATTGATAGGGAGGAAGAGGGGAAGAGAAGTTATTGCGTATTATATTATATAACATATAACATTGTAGGTTTCGTATTTTGATAAATAAATGTGGTTTATATTTTGCGTTCAGATCTCGCATTTCCTATAATTCATCCGCATATTTAATATGCTGCTTACATTATCTTTATTAGGAGTCGCGTCGGCGCTTCGCGTCCATATGGGCTACATCGCTGGTTTAGTGCCCGGCGCGAAAGCTGCCTCTACTTGCCAGGTGGATGCCCAAGGCACTCACTCGCCTCACACACGATGCGGTTCAGGACCAATAATTAGCATCACTAGCGAGGAAGACCGTAGGTTGAGCCTTGGGTTACGTCGCAAGGAAAGTAGCGAGCCTAAAGTAAATTTCAGCTTACCGCCACGTAAGTGACCTGACCTCGACATATTAAATTTTAATTAAATACACGAATGTATTATGTTTAACATTTTTGCCTTTACAGAAATATATCTAGTGCGTCGCAATTTTACGGCTTCTGTAACTTCATTCATTTATTATATTTTATATTTAATTATACAAAAATATGGTTTTCTCTCTCTCAAAAAAAGAAAGGAAAAAGATACGGTTCTAAATGTCTTTTTTTATTGCGTAATATATCTTGCAATAAATTAATTCAAAAATGTTTTGAAGAGAAAGCTTTTAAATTTGAACACTGCGATGTTGAAAATATTTCAGAGACGAGCACGAGTCAGTCGTCCTCTCGAGAGAAGATACGCGGCTCGCCTCGGTTTCCTCATCGAATTATCCCGGCGAACAGCTTAAGCGCTATCGCACAAGGTACATCGATCACGAGACCGCATCGTTGGCACTCGATGGACGACGCGATGAAACCAAAGGTTACCCAAACAACGTCTCGTGGCTCGTGCAGTCCCAATTCCGACGTATGGACCACGAGCGAGATCAAGGTTTCTTTCGGCGAGTTGGACAGTACTGTCAGAGCCAAGAAACCACCGGACTCCTTAGCCCTGACTACCGCCGCAGACTCGAAGATGAGTCCAGTCGATACGAGACTGGGCAGTGATCTGAGGAAATTGTTCAGAGAGAACGACAGCGAAGAGACAGTTAGTCCCGCCGAACACGAACTGAAGACGACGCGGTCGAGTTCGTCGTCCTCCTCGTCCCCGAAGATAATCGGTGCCACTAGCCATTCCGTACTCTTAAAGAACGATTTCACCCCAGAGACTCGATGCGATACCGTTTCGAACTTCCGTCAAGAATCGAGACCTCGTCCGACGAGCCCAGTGATTTCGGTGGTCGACATGGATAACCGAGGGGAGGAATTGAACGCTGATGCCGACAGTCGTGTCGGTACTTCCTGCGAAAAGAAGCCATCGACTTCTGTAACGTAAAATATTGTGCACGTGATGGTAACAAATTTGTCTAAATGGTATAAAGTTTATTAAAGTTTAAGAGAGAGAGGAAAGATATATCAGGGTGAAAAAACGTTGATTTTTTCGTGTTCCACTCGCAACGCCTAATATTTCAAAGTCCTTCTGAAAGTGGGACAACGATTCTATCGAAATTCCTAATTACCGTAGTCGCTTAGACAATCTAAAACAAATTGAAAATCTCTATTTAGATGTTTCGTGTGATAGACGAAGGAAGATTGTCATGCAGGCGCATGATAAGAGATAATTAAAGCAATTACGGGCGCGTTATTGACTAGGAATTTCGCAACAGAGTCTGTATGCAATATATGAGGATTATACATATAATAACAATAAAATATAGCACATATTAGGTAGTTTTAAATTAATATTTCAAAAACCGGGTAGATCTTTCGATAGTCAATTCACAATTCAACGTTAAATAATGGCAATGTTGTTTATTAATTAACGTTATAATTGATTATTTACTAAGCGTTACACATGATTCAATACTGTGCAGTGGAACGCTATAAAATCGACACTGTCAATGCAATATAGATCACCAAAGACAATATAGACACCCGGCTCAACTTGTCGCGAGAGTTGACTTTATTCGTGCTCAAATCAATAAGCGAAACAGTGTGCGTCATGATCGTGCGGAGACTCCACAAAGTGTCGTACGTGTAAATATATAGGTTTCTTGTTCGCGTAAATGCCCAAATGCGAGGATCATGGACCAATCGCAATGTATAATCTCAAATATGTGTGTTCGCTAGTAACTGTGCCAAAAAAAAAAGAAAAAAGAAAAGCAAATTTTAAGACCCGTAAGAGTATACGTTTGTCTTGAAGGATTATAAAAGGGACCAATGCTTACGATATCCTTCTCAATATTATTTTGTGATGAAATGAGTTCGGTAATCTTGGCCCTAAATGTAAGTTGCATCGTAAAAAAAATATTGTTTTCGAAAGTACTTACATTAAAGTTTTATCTTGCGCGATAACACGATCAACAAGAATAATGGAGATCAAAAAGGGGAACTTTAGTATCACTTTAAAATACTTGATTTATAATCGATAACATATTCATTGGCTATTTGAAAATAGAATACTTTTGCAACTATAAAACTCTAAGTATTTCAGAGAAGACAAACTGTAAATACCCTTACGGGACTGCAATCAAAGTGTTCAGTGCCCCAAACCTTGTCTCTAGTACCTGCGCTCATGTGCAATGAAATATATATCTGCTCGAAGTAAAAGCGATTTAAAATAAGAATGCCATGTTTTGTTTGTAACATGCGTGAACGTACCGATATTTTCATGCCACCGAGTATTAAACGTATAAACGTATAAATATGTAGATAAGGCAAATGGTGAGGAGACATATTTCTGCGAAAAGGTTTCCTTCCGAAGTCTTGCTATCCGACTGGTTTAACTCGGATATCTCGATGTGTCAATCAATAAAAAACTTTATCGATTAAGCAATAATCAGCATTGTCTGTGCAAATAAGAGAATGATGTAATAAAGAACTCTATATATATATGTATATATATATATATTCTATCCATTTTTGTTTTATTATATGAATATTGATATCTATCCCACAATTCTTCAATAAAAGATGATTTGTGATACTCAATTAATGTAGGATTCTTTTATTCTCACATGCCGTAAGTCAGAATATATAACTAGTAAAGTAATACAATACAAAAAGACATTAAACCCGTTACACAAAATAACTATTTACATTTTCTTAATTTTCTTATATTTTGAATACTTACATGTATTAAACACGAGCTATTATAATAATTTAATTCCGAGTCATTCAAACTAAAATTTACAGAAATTATTAATATAAAATATATTTGAAAAATATATACCTTATTTACAATAAATATTTTTCAAATATAAATTGTATTAATTTTACAAACATTAATATGTATCGTCTAATATAGTAAAAGTAGGTAAAATATATTATATTTTACCTATCTATTATATGAATATATTATATTTTACCTATTAAATGAATTTTTTAACATATAATTTTTAAGTAACATGTAATAAAAATGTAATTTTTACAGGAAAAAAAAGATCAATTTAAATATCAGGTTTCTTACTGTTTATCAGACTTACTATTATCTAATTCTATTGACGTTTTGCTCGCATCATTACATGCTAACGAATAATAAATCATTTTCTACCTGTCCGCCTAAATAGTATTACATAAGAAAGTAATATATTACAAGGTAAACGTAGTAGAAAAAAAAGGAGATCTAATGATTCACTGATGCAATATTTAGGAATAACAATGAAGAGTTGAACGCGCAAATGTACAGAAACGAGCGTATAAGTAAGATTGATGAATCTATTATATTACAACACTGCCTTCTTCCGTACGTCTTTCCTTTATACGTTTCATCTTCTGTAGCTATATCGCCGCCTGAAACAATCAACGTACAATTTTAGCGGTGAAATCAATAACTTTTGACAAGTGCGAGTAAATTTAATTACTTACATTAATTTTTTCTAGGATTGTTTCTGCTGGTTTGTCCGGTTTCGCAGCCTCTTTCGAATCGTTTTTGGTAATATTTGGCTTATCATCCTGCATAACGGTCTTTTTCTCCAGGGCGTTTCTCGCTTCTATCCTCTTACGATTCAGGAAAGCCATGCCATGCACCCTCAGATGCTTGTCTACCGCAGCTTTATCTTCAAAAACTGCCATACAGACGTAGCATTGATTAGCCACCGTCGTTCTCTCTCCCGTTTGCGAGTCACTGTCGTCAGGGGCATAAGAGGGGTTTTGATTCATGTAACTGATAGGATCTTCTATACCGTGGAGAGCTTTAAGATGCATCTGCAAGCTAGGAGCGGCCATAAAGTTCTCGCCGCATTCCAGGCATATCAGGTAACGGCCCTTCAATCGGTGATTGGCAGCGATATGCTCTCTTAAATCGGGCATATCGGTGCACTGTTCACCGCATTTCTTGCATACGAAATTACCCTCGGCGTCTCTATAATTATCCTCCGCTGTCTCCTGTATCAAGCATAATCCTGGCAGATTCACATCCTTCATTTCTACATCTCTACGCTTCCTTTGAGTCCATCGACGCTTTCTTTTGGTTACAAATAAAGCGCTGTCCGATTTTCGCTTCTTGCTATTTATAAATTTTGTATAACCACTGTTAATAAAGTCGGGCGACATCCGTGATAATCGAGGAGTGATTACCGCTACTCTGTACTCTGAATGCTTTTCACGAAAGTGTGTCTGTACCACGAAGCGAGAAGTATTAATCCGTTCGTTGCATAAGTGGCAGAGGTAATCAATACCTTCTTCGTTTTGTGTATCTGTTCCTAAAGCGATACGCATTTGTGACTTATTGGTTACTCTTCGAACAAAAGACTTCTTCGCTCTTGGTTTTCTTGGCCGGCTAATGGCCGGCTTATTTTCCAGCTTATTTTCCAGCTTATTTTCCGGCTCATTTTCTAGCTCATTGACTTCTACAGGTTCAAGTAAATGCTGCGGCATCCTGGCAAGTGGAGGAGGTTTTGGTAAGGATGCCATGTAACTTGCGTTTTCATCTTTCATCTCTATATCGCTCATCTCCGCGAATTGCTCTGATTCACATATTGTCCTCAAGTCAACTATTTTTATACGGCTATCTGTGCTTCTTTCGAATGTGGAATTCGGAACTTTTTTGCTCAATATAATTGGCGAATCTACACGAACATCAACTGTGTCTACTAATAAAGGCTTTTCAGACTGGCATACAACATTCATTGTCAATTCGTTGTTATCTTTATCAGGCTCTTTTATCTTTGCTGTCTCTTCGTTGCTATTAGGCTTGTCATCATCTAATTCCATTGCTGTTTCCTCGTATGAGAAAGGATTTTCGTCTTTAGTTTCAATCATTTCAATAACTTGAAGAGATGAAGAATTAGATTGTTCTTTCGTTTCAGTGGAAAATTTCGTAACTGCTTCCTTAGAGTTGGATGATTTTGAATCATTTGTCGCTCCATCCTCTATCCACCCTCTAATGCTGATTATTCGTGGCAATAATTCTCTTCTTTCATTGATATCTGTAGACCATGCATATTCCGTACCCTCCGAGCCATGTTCGAATATTTCTGAACTGATAGTTCGAGTATTCACAATTTTAGGAACCATGGTACCATCGGTGTCTTTGTCACTTTCAGGTGTTCCTGAAAATTGTTGCAAAGAGTTTTTCTTTTTAAATTTTAAATATTCTGTACCAAAAATGTGGATAAATGCTTCTTTACTAAGGATTTTTGACATGGTTTCTACATGATTACTTCGTATATGATTGTTCAGTAACACCGACACATGTTTGTTATCTGTAGTTATCAAATGGCAAAAACGACATTTGAACCATATTAATTTTCGAATTCCAGGGTACTTCTCCAAGTATGTCATGTAATTCTCGCAACGTAAGATTACATTGCTTAGTTTACATATTACTAATCGTATTGGATTCTTCTCCGTTTTAGACGGATGTGTCCTTTTGCAATGTTGTACATACTCATTATATGAGAGAAATACTCGGGAACAATCTTCGCAGCCGACCTTCGTTTTGCTGTGCATAATAACAAAATGTCTAGTAATCGACTCTAAATCCCTAAAACCATCTATTTCACAAATTTTACAGTTAAATACTTGTTTTTTCCATGTATGAAAGCAAACAGTCCATGTGTGAACTTCTAAAGATATAGCAGACTCAAATACAGCATGACAATCTGGACAACTGTATGGTTTGCTCTTCTTAATTTTATGAAAGTTTTGATGCGCGATAAACTGTCCCATGGTTCCTTGGTAAGATAAACACATGTGACAAACTCTTTTATAACAAGAACAATACGCTTTGTCATTCTTAGGTAATTTTGAAAATCCAGCTATATATGATTTAGGTTTCAAAAGTCTATTGCATATTGGACATTTATGTACTGGATCAACCTTCGTTTCCCATAGGTTTAATATCACGTCATTGCTTTGCTTCTCCCGTACTTCCCGATCATATTTATTGAAACATTCGTTTAATATGCATTGCAGCGTATTGACAGCTCTTAACTTCTCCATAAAAACTTCCTCCGTTATAAAGTCCAAAACTTGTCGCATTTCTTTAACAACACATAGCAAATGATCGAGCCGTTCTTTCAATTCCAAACTATTCATTTGATAAAACTCATCAAACATTTCTCGTCTATATTTTATTATTACATCACACACATCTCGGAAACTTTCTTTTTGAATGCGACTAACTTCTTTTATGTCCATATAAAGATCTCCATTGTCCTCCTTAATTAATGATATTGTTTCCAATAAATAATTTTGGGTCGAATGCAGAGCAGATATCGAATTTAAATGCGGAGGTACTTTCTGTAATTTTGGCAGAATTGGCCGTAATTGGCTTGAAAGTTTCTTAACGTGCAATTCGCAACTGGAACTGCTGGATAATTCAGAAGGAGATGGAGAAGGTGTTAAAGGTTTTGGCAGAATTGGCCGTAATTGGCTTGAAGGTTTCTTAATGTGCAATTCGCAACTGGAACTGCTGGATAATTCAGAAGGAGATGGAGAAGGTGTTAAAAGAGAAATATTGTTGTGAAGTGAAGCCGTTTGCTCCATGCCAACATTTTCGATTTCGTTAGAATTAGTGAGCGTTAATCTTGACTTTGAAGTGTTATGTTCGGATATTGGTTGTTTTGTAGCTTTCGTGACATTTCTCACAATTGATAAATTAGAACTTTTTGAAGCCTTTATAATATTTCTTGTACTTTTCAAGAGATACCTTATTCCATTTCTTACTATAATTTGTTCAGTGACTTCTTGTTCCTTGACATTGGAATCGCGCATCTTCTGCGTTGACGTATTGGAATTTGTACCGCTGCTATTTATCGAGATGCTTGAATTTGTTTTGGTAGCCGTCTCACTTGCGTCATGGGCGATGACATTACGTGAATCCTGTCCAATGACAATCAATTTCTTGTTGGAAATAAGATGAGGTGAAAGTTGACTAATTATTGATGCAATATTCTTTGGATCTTGCAGAGTTAGTACCTTGGAATTACTATTTGTTTTTGTTGTCTGAAGATTTTGCTCTAAATTAGTTGTAGTTATTACACTTTTCTTAGCAAGAAATGGAATACTAACTTTAATTGGATTATCTGAAATTTTACGAACGCCAGTTTTACTGTGGTTATTCGCTGTAGTTTTCTTTACAAAAGGTTGAACTGTATTATATTGTTGTACATGACCTTTCAACGATTGTTCAATGATAAGATTTTTATTAGAACCGTTATCGCCAGCTTTTGCAGTAATAGCGTTTTCATGAATCATGTCTGTATCGTGTAAATTGTGTTCTTTATTCTTTGTTTTATTATTCATTCCGGCTGTATTAGCTAAGTGACAATTTTTTACCTCCTGTGATGTCACTTGTTTTTGTTGTGTATAATTCACTGGTATTTCTGGTTCAAAATATTGCGAAGTAGGGCCGCAATCTACAAAAGTAATATCAGTGTGTGTACATGGATTATCTTCATTCTCCAAGACATTCTTGTCTGAGATTATATTAGCAGAATAGTTATTTGTATCATTATTAATCAAACTATCATCAATAAATTCAATGTCCAAAGGGCTTTTGCTAACATTAGATGAACTGTAATCCATATTTGTTGTTGATGTATCGTAAGTTTCAAATAATTGTCGGCCCTCATAACTGTTGACAACTGCATTTATTATATCGTCATCACTTTTGCCATTAACCAGCTTCCACCAGTTATCTTGTAAATTATACAGCTCTAACCAATCTATAATATGTGTGCGTAATATGAATGCCCATTCCATAAGTGCTTCGCATAATATTTCAAATTCAGTAGACCAATCACTATTGCTCATGTTAGTAGGTAGAGGCAATAACATTAAATCACCCATATTTACTCTACTTAATTTATGCATTTTCAAATGCTCGACGAATTGGCACTGATTGTAGAATACTCTTACAGCCCCCAGCTTCAGACTCTTATTTATACCTTTTGCTCGAAAATACGCGCGTTTATCACTATTTATTTTTGTGCATGTAGAACATTTTATATTCGCAGTACGTGTCTGAGTGTGAGTACATACTGTTTCGAAACATTCGTGACACCAAAGCCCTAAGATCCAACTGTGCCGTGCGTTGTGATCTTCAAAACTGCTTTGAAAACGAAAACTGAAACAAGAATCACCACTTACAGGCGTTACAGTTATATAACAGGATAAATCATAAACTTCTGTCGCATCTTAATGCGATTGTTAAAATGCTCTATTACAAACTCACCAATCTTTGCAGTGTTTGCACACGTATAACGGACCAGATTCCACAATCTCTTCGCTCAAGGATGCTGGCGGCTCTGTTGGCATGTAAGGCAAACAATGCCTGCCAAACACAATATTTTGTATAGCTTGGTGATACTCTTCTCCCCATCTATTGTCAATTCTGCGATTCTTATGCACTTTTGGTCCAATGCGTTGGGATCTCGAACTAAAACGATCCTAAAAACAAATTGCCGATCTTGGAGATAAAAGATATTAAATATCATCGTTCTGTTGGGATGCAGTTTTGAATAATTCAATGTTGCGATTGGCCTAGCCGATATTTTCGCAATGTCACTACATGCACAAGATACTAGAATAGGCTTCCTCCTACATATCCATTATCTCTATTAATCAACACCATGAATGCACAATACAAGTTTTCCATTCGTGGAGTTTAAAGCCAACTTGTTCCCTGCATATACTTAATACTTTACCATGGATATTTATTACGGCATCTCTGTCACATTATATAAAATTTAATAAAATGAATCAACACATTGTTGCAAATCACATATAGCTGTACATCTTTCAGCCATGATGTGCCTTGAATCGCTGGCACTCTGTCGGTAAAATCGCGCACGATAGGAGCTGCCATAGTGGACAGTTATTGAAACAATCTACACTCTTTTGACGCAACTCACGCAACGATTTAGCGTTAATCAAACCGCAATCATTTCACTAATATCAACTCATTAATGTCAATCGCGTGGCGTGATAACTTTTACATTGTAATAGCATGATAAAATATATAGCTCAGTACCATTGGTTTCACAGGATAATGTAATCACTGAGGATTTTTTCTGATGGTGTTACTGACTGTAACTACAAACTGCACGGCATCCCGAATTGAGATGACTCCAGCCAGATGAAAGACCATCCAATATAAAGATCCTGAAATTTATATTTGAGAATATCAGATATGCGTTTCTCACAAAACTGCAATCACAGTTGGATGCATGTGTTTTGATAAATCAATAAATCACGATGCTAGCAGTATATGTTGCTATGAGTATGATCAATTATGCTTAAATATTCTTTATTTTTGTAGAGTCCGTCATGCAGTGGCACACTACGTGCACGTATTAACCAAGATAAAGAATTGTTATAGCTGTAAGGAAGCTGTAGACCTTCTATCCATGTAGAAATATATACCTGCTATCCATATATATTTGTATATATTTATTATATATGTATAATAATCTAAAACACATGCACATGCATCCATCTGCGAAAAAACTAAGAATTATCTTCAAGATATATATATATATATATATATATATATATATATATATATTGTATCTGAATGGCAAGAAGACAGAAACTTTTGGAAACTAAAAACACTTATGGACCTGTAATGATATTCTCTTTCCTTAGATAACAAATTGTCCCAACAGCGACTTTCTCTTGCTGTGAAATCGCATGAAATCACCTGAAACAAAATAGATAACGTTTTATTCGAGTTATTTGTACTCCACAGTATAAATATGCGTTGTAACAGTGTGAGAGATAAGTTTCAATGAAAGGTGAGTGATAGTCATGTCCACATGTGCAAGAAGCTAAGATTATTGTTATTGGAACCCGACATAATATCTCTATCAAAGTTCAGTTTATATCTTATAATTAGATCGCAGTAAGGTATTATTATGAGACACAATTAATTGAATTAATACCGTTTCACACAAGATTCCTGACTTCCTGCTTCCTGAGAGCTTGCAGCTGCGTCTAACCTCATAACAATCACTACTAGAGTGCGCTAGTCTCGAAAAATAACGTACCGCGATCGTGAAGTACATACGTGCGTGGTGCAGATAGGTGCGGACTAAAGAGGCGAAACTTGAGGCATTCCAGATATGATAATATCCAGATTGTGTATTTCTTACAGAAACTATTAAAATTACGCTGACAAAAATATGTATCAAATATCGCCATGCGCACACGCGACGCATGTTCGATTATCGTCACAAAAAATGAGTGCAATCTTAAGACTCATTGTCAGTCACAATGAGAAAAATAAGGAATAAGATAAAGGAATAAGGAATGTCGCATCTCACTTCAGTATACGTACATTAAAGTGAAATGGAACATGCCTTATTCCTTTATCTTATTCCTTATTTTTCTCATTGTGACTGAGCCCTTACCTTATTTGATAATTACTACGTTTACGCGAGCATTACTTCTGTAGTAACTTACGATAATTCACTCGTTTACGCGGAGGAAATTATTGTAAGTTACTACAAAATTCCGTTTACGTGAAGGAAAATCCTGTTTACTTGAAGGAATTATCGTAAGTTACTATATACAGAAACAACGCTCGCGTAAACGTAATAATTGTTATATAATTGACAATTAATTGTTTAATTGGACGAATGCATGATATACAACCACCATATATACATCCTCGACGTTTCGACGTACAAATGTTGACAAACAAACATAAAACCATCGGGGTGACTTTGGCGCGTTTGCCAGTTTTCCTAATTCCTATTTGCCCACGTAATCCTGCTAATTGATCCTTTCATTTTTTCAATTCAGGACGAAGTAACAAAGAAAAAGAGGATTTCTCAAATTCTAATTATCTCCCATTAAACATCAGGAAGATATTTTTTATCAGAAATTTTAAGGCACGTTTTACGGTCCAAGATTATGGATGGAGATTCCATAGAAAATCACGAAAATCTTTATTCTTAGGATTCTTCCCTCCTCATGATCACCGTCTATCTTCGCAGAAATCGCCGATTTCGGACACTTTTGTCGTACTATATTCGTCTTCCCGTCTAAAGAATAATGTTAGCGCTTGTGGCTCGTCAGCAGTAGAGACTCTCTGATCAAAAAGCCTGGTCAGAACAAAAGGGTCCGATATTTTTCTTCAAAATCCTATGCGAGAGAGAGAAATATGTCTATCTCACTCTGCAGTGACGCTGCAACCTGCAAATAACGTGTCAAAAATCGATAAATTTCGTAGATATTTGTTTCTGACAAATAAGTAATAATGGTTGTATGCGCGACAGTTTACTGCAATAATTCATTAATAAAAAATACATTATGGGAGTATTTCTCTCTCCAAGAGATTTACGTCGAGTCCAATGGGTATAAGAAAATATTAATTTACTTTATAATAATAAGATTATGATATATAGTCCCTGCATGGCTATATTATTAGACGCACCTTAATTTTTTACAATTTATTGACTTTCCAGCATTAATTGTGATACCGCTCATCTATTATTGTTATAATTTATAATCTATCTCTATCAAATTATGTTAAGGACCTTGTTCTGTAGACATAGTCATTTTATGATGTATTTTACTTGAACGGTAACAGTGATAGTAAACAAGTATGACTCTGCGCCAGTCGCATTGTTTATGTTTATAATAATAAAAGCAGATGTGTTTTAAAAGTGTGTTATTGAAATTTAGTTTTATCTGTTTGCGATATATTCCTTGTAGACTAACAGTAACTAAATATTAAAAACATGTGTATTTTTTGACTGCCTAAATAATTGATAAAAATAAATAAATACATGATTATATTGATTATCAAATCTGTGTGTTTTAATATTCACCATTGTTCAAAGATATTATGTTTTTTAGGCATGAATAAAATATAAATTAGCAACTTTTTTCTCCTTTCAATCTGAAATCTGTTAAAAGATTAAGGTGCGTCTATTAATATGACCAGGGACTGTACGTGAAATTATTTATTATTCATATGGAATTGATTATATTTATATGGAAAAAATTTTTTCTTTTTTCTGCATATAAGAAATTATTATAGAGAAACTGTATCATTTGATAATATTTAGGCAAATTAAATAATAATAATAGGAATTAAATTTTAAAAAGTTTTTTAAAATGCTAATTTATTATGTTTGACAAAAATAGAAATTTCAGAAAACTGGCGCGAATTGAAGGAAAATGGTGAAGCAACCAATCAGAGGTTTTAGAGGGTCTCAAGTCAGCTGAGTCAGCTGCGTCACTTGCGACGGCAGAGTTTATGGCCGAGAAAACTCCGTGATCGCGCGGAGGTCCATAATTTGTCGTGATCGTCAGTGATCGTCGGTTGCGCAACTGCGAAAAATGCCGTTTTACCAATTCAACTCGTTCACCGGCAGGCTGAAGCCGTCCACCAATCTTCAGCCGCTCTACCCCATCGTAAGTGAGGATATGTGCGGTCCGTGTTTCGCACGTCAAAATTTCTGACTGCTCGGTCTCGGCATGTCTCCGGCCCCAGGATATCGCTGATCGGCATTTCACATTACTTCCATAGAATCACAGGTGCCTCGTACCTTTTTTCCCCTGAGTGCTGGCCACGCGCTCGAGATCGACCGTCAATTATTCGTTATCAGGTCTGATTATCGAACGTAGAACGTAAAGGAACAATTCGGCCATGTCGAGTACCTGCGTTCATGTAATATCTTTATCAGATCCTCTTATGACACAATATGCTATAATTATGTTGATCAGTATAATGGATAAGGTGTACACCTCAAGTCAGTCTATCATACGTTAATTGTAATTGTTAATATTTTGGAAACGGAATGATTGGCACACATATAGATAGATTGACACATATAGACAGAGTTTGGTCTATATTCTATAAATATATTTTTATCTATACACTAGATACAGATCTATACACTAGATATATTGATTGATTGAATGAATGAATGATCTTAGATGTAATATATTGATAGTTTTACTCAATGCATATGCTTATGCAGTGAGCAATAAGTTTTTTATATTGTTTCAGTCTCCTCTTCCTTTACAGAAGTCAGAGCCAGTGATTTACGACAGCATCAAAACCAAACCGGTGACGGTTACGCCCAAGGCGAGCTATTGCACCGACAAACCACCCACCCTCGATCCGAAATTGTGGGCAAAGTACAAGCACTTCCAGGCAAGTATACGTAACGATAATTTTCAGCTACAATTAAATTTCGAACGTAGATTTCCTTTACATTTTCTCTTGCTTGCAGGCTGCGCTAGACAAGCCGGTATACTTGGCTGGTGGCAAAAAGGATAAGATGCTATTCGCATTCACAGTTGCATACGTCGGTGTTTGTACGCTACAATCACTCGTGTTTATCGCAAAGGAATGCTTGAATATTATCTAAATAGAATAAGTGGATGTTATGTAGATAATAAATTGTATAGACTTCTGGTATTGCGATTCTGTATTGACATTACAAATGTTAATACTGGAAAGTAAGGAAAAGTAATTATATTAAATTTAAAAAATGCATTCTTTTTTTTAATTAATATACCCCCATCACCTTTCCGAGCATACGAGATTACGAGTAAATTTTGTGTAAGAGGAAACTTGTGTTTTGATATGTGCAAACATTGAATTTGCGCAGCTTGAGAAATGCACGGTGTACTAACGCCCTCTCGACTGCTCTCGACAAATCGTAAAGGTTATGTTTCCGTGTGTATCGTCTGCTAGCACTGGCTAGCAGAGGCAAGAGGCATATTAGCATTAGCGTTTGACAGCTCGTTAAAGTCAGTCCGTCATGTCTCACAATTTAGTATAAAATCGTAACAATCGCTCTACGTCGCGCCATGGAGGAACAAAGCAAACCAACTATGGTGTTCCATCCGATTATTTCCTCCATACAGAAAATTGCGCTGTACGAGACGAAATCCGTGAGTTCGACATTCTAACTTCTTTCCGATTTACTCCAAGACCATTCATCACCGTATTTACGCATTTACAGCGATTCTATCTAATGGGATCCAACAATACACTGACGCGTTTCCGAGTTCTGAAAATCGACAGGATGGAACCGCGGGAGTTGGTTGTGGTGGACGACAAGAGGGAGTACACTCAGGACGAGATAAAAGATCTCGTCAACATGATCGATATGGGTAACCGGACACGTGCGGGACAGCGTAATAACGTGGGTGGTGTTGCACGTGTCGTATCTGCTTTTGGGATTGTTGGTAAGGTCATTACGCCACATGTTTTTCAGCGATGCACATTGATAAACATGGAATTATTAGTAACAGCACGCATACGGCATAAGCTTTCACAGTATATATGTATTAAACATAGAGTTACTTATGTAATCGTACATATTTTTATTTAAATGGTTATCTATGGCATGCGCACTCTTTTCTTTTTCTTTCTATTATTCTATATTATTTGATAAAGATGTTGAAGCTTAGGCTCCTCAGTGTTTCAAGCTTCTCTCGTCCATGGTATAATTATTTAACTTTCCTACATATATCATATACATAAGACTTGTTACTCTATTACTAATATCATTTATACCACCATATCAGATACTAAAAGCATCTCATCGGAATTATTTTTAATTGCGTTATACGAAACTTAGCTTACCTACATTTGCTTGCTAATAAAGGCAACAATAGTAAAGAACCTGCACCTAGTTCGGGTATATCAGAGGAGCCTGAGCAACAAGAATTACAAAAACCACTGCACAAACCGACACAAACTAAATTCACCTGGAAGAGTATGTGGCAGAGAGACACTTTCCCCAGGCTAGTGCCAGCTTTTGCTCTCCTTGGTAAGGCATAACGAGCTTTTTATTGACAAAGCCAAAGGTAGACGTATATAATTATCGCAAACGGAATAACTTTGTTACATAAAGAGAAAATTAGCTTTAGGTACGTTAGTTGCTTGTTAAGTATAGAAATAATAGGTGAAATTTCAATTGGTAGATATTTTGAGCATTAGTTTTAGAAGACTATGTGACAAAACATTGGTAGATAATATTATACAGAGTTATTCAGTTAATAAATCGATATTTGATAGGCCATGCAATCGATCAGAATAATAAACACTATATGATTAACAGAATTAATATTCGCAATCAGACATCATGGTATATCATGGTATGTACATATCCTCCCTCATGCATGGTGATATTTTCTTTTATATAGATATATATTATATTTCTTACATATGTGTGATGTAATTAGACTAAATGCATGGATATTACATACCACGCAGAAACAACGGACGCTATGTATTTAAAAAAATTAGTAGTGCTTAGGATTGTGTATAAAATATGCAAGTTATCAATGTTCAACTTTTTTTTTACAATTATTTAGAAACATAGTGAAAATATAAAGTATATCTTATAATAGATATAATATATAATTAACAATAATAATAGTGATAAGTTGTAGACATGTTTTAGAAAAGAATATTTGCTGCAGGGTTTATACGTTTTTTGGAGGGATATTACATAATCCTAGTTACGAAACGTCGCCGAGTTGCAGTTATTGGTCATCATACAATATATAAAATAGAAGATACGTCAATGATATACATACCAAATGACATTATACGAATCTTCCATCCTGACGAACAGAGATATGTAAAGATGTTTCAAAGTATTGATCTCAGCAGTAACTTCTACTTCAGTTATTCATACGATATATCACATACTTTTCAAAGTAACATGGCACCGCCGACGTGTATTAAATCTGATGTTCCCACTGATATGCCTGCAAGCCAAAAGGAATCTGAAGAATCAGATGAATCTGAAGATTTTTTTAACATGTGGGCATTTAGAAAAGATTGGCAGAATGAATGGTACGTATCTTGATGCTGAATTTATGTCTCATTATGTATATAACTTAATTAAGGAAACTTGAAAGTATATATATTTAATAATATATGAAATTTATTTACAGTAAAGGTGAGAAATATATGGATTACGGTATACGTAGCAATCCACAACGTCGTTTTGTGTGGAATTCTCACCTTTTGAAGCCTGTAGAAAAAGATTTGCATCCTGAATGGATATTGTATGTGATACACGGCTTTATTGGTCAGTCAAATGTGAGCATCTTTGGGAGATCTATGTATGTCACCGTTATTGCCCGAAGAAGTAACAAATATGCGGGAACACGGTTTTTGAAACGCGGTGCAAATTTCGACGTATGTCCAGATGCATTTATAATTGTATTTATAATATTTCTCGTAGATATTTTAACTAATCAATGATTATATGAATATAGGGAGATGTCGCGAACGAAGTAGAAACAGAACAAATCGTTCATGATTCTGGCGTAAGTTCTTTAAGTAAAGGACGTTTCAGTTCTTTTGTACAAATGCGCGGATCAGTGCCCGCACATTGGAGTCAGGATGTTAGTAAAATGGTTCCAAAACCGACTATAATTTGTGATTTGTCCGATCCTTATGTAGAAACAGCAGGTATTGATATACAAATATTAATAAATTGATTTTATTCTGATTGTAAGATATATAATATAAAATTCTTATCCATTTAAAAAATTCTTATCCATTTAAAATATTTTTAGGAGCCCATTTTAATCAACTATTGAAAAGATATGGATCACCAATAATTATATTAAACTTAGTAAAAAAACGGGAGAAAAAGAAACATGAAAGTACATTAAGCGAAGAATTAAGTATGGCTGTGAAATACTTGAATCAATTCCTACCTCCGGAGCATCACATTCAATATATAAGCTTTGATATGGCACGTATGAGTAAAAGGTAAGTTTATATTAACATTAAAATATACGAAATGTTACAATTTTATTCTAATTTTTTGTCTTTTTTACAGAAAAAAGGTGAACGTTATGGGACGATTAGCAAACATTGCTTACAATGCTGTATTAAAGACTGGTATTTATCAGTCACAAAATCCTTATTACAATCAGAGAAATCTATTCTCACCACAAAACAATAATATGAGAAAACTTCACAAGACAAATTCAAGCTCGACTTTATCATCTAATTTAAACGACACCAAAAGCTCTTTTAATACTTCAATTAAAATGGATTATAACAGGCAAACAAATTCCATACATGGTTCCGATTCAAATACAGAAATCAATAAAACAAATGAATTAAATCAAATCCAAAACAAAGTGAGGGAATGTTTTGCTAAGAGAGGAACTGTGCAAACTGGAATCATCAGAACAAATTGTGTAGATTGTTTAGATCGAACTAATACAGCTCAGTTTGCAATAGGAAAATGTGCTTTAGGGTTTCAGTTGTGTGCTTTGGGTGTACTAGAATCTCCTAAACTCGAATTTGATTCTGATTGCGTGAGGATGTTAGAAGAATTGTACGAGGATCATGGGGATACTTTAGCCTTGCAATATGGTGGTTCGCAACTAGTTCACAGAATTAAGACATATAGGTAGATTGAACGTTATTACATTTAAACGTGGCAATAATATAATTTTGATTATACGAAACTATTGTCATTTAGAAAAACTGCTCCATGGACAAGTCAGGGCAACGATATCATGCAAACTTTAAGCAGATATTACAGCAATACGTTTAGTGACCAAGAAAAACAGCACACGATTAATTTATTTCTGGGTAAATAAACATGTATCTGTCTAATCTTTACAAAACAATCTATAATTATCGCTTAATTAATGTGCGTATATCTTAGGATTGTTCATACCTGAAGAAGGTAAGCCTCCAATATGGGAAATACTAACGGATTATTATCTCCATCATCTACCTGCTTGTCACTACTCGCGTAAAAGAAGACTTCTGACGCAATGGTGGGATAAAAGTGTATTGAAATGTCTTCCTTATGCACTTGACGAAGTAACCAAATCCTGTTCAGAAATGATACAAGTGCAAAATTCAATAGAAGAAATGATCGATGTTTATTATGATTATCATAGGTAGTGTCACTTATTTCATAATTATACATATTATTATTCATGTCATCAACTTGTTTTACGAATAATGCCACAAATATTTTAGGCCGTATGAATTGTCTTTACTATCTGAGGTATATGCATATAAAATAAGCCACTCCGTTAGAGATTTTATGCCACACTTTACCACCTGCTATAGTCCATTTGCTGTTCGTGTACGACCAGGTAGACGGAGAGAGGAAGCAGGTAGTAAAAATTTAAATATGAAAAATCCATCTATGACTGGTCAGAGCAGTACGAGTAGTACAACGTCCAGCGCAAGGTACATATAACATTTAATTATCAATCTTATTCTTTGAAGTTAATTTTATAAATAGAAATTTATATTTATAATTAACTTTAATTAATGTTATCAATTATATGTTGCAGCTCAAGCGAGGATTCAAGTTCAGATGAAGATGAAAGCCATCAACAAATGGATGATTCTCAATTAATAACGTCTAAGGACAGTTCGGAATTAATATCATTCGAATCATTGTTTCCTTCCATGAAAGAAGTATATGGCACAGAACCAGAATATCCAAAACGGAATGATATTATTCTGTATAAAAAGTAACACAATCATTGTCTTTTTTATAAATATGAAAAATGTTTTATATATTTCAATATTTTCCTTCTTTCAGATTTGTTCTAATAGGGCGCAATGCAACATATCCCATAGATCATACTAAATTGCGTTCAAAATTAATTCAACAAGCATTTGAATCTGCAGCTGCTGTAATTACGCTACCTAGTGTTAAAGACGCAAGCATAAGCATATACGAGCAATATGTGAAAAGAGCCATAGTATGTAAATGTTGTTGCATATAATTAAAATATTGTATAACTTTGTACATATTCATGAATAATTTTACAGGTAGGTGGCATGATACCAAATCCAAACGATATGAATTTATATGAGGCTTACGCTGGTCAGTATAAACTGCTCATGAAACCAGCATGCTCTGGATAAGACAAAGTTAATTTCACGTTTTATAAATGGAACTTATTGTACATATCATATTGTAAATACTGAATATTGTTAATGTTATGTTAGCTTAATGTCAATTTTGTATATGCAATTGTTAATAACTTAGATTTATTTAATGCTCATTATATGCAATTATATGCTTATATTTTATATCTAAGAATTTCGTAGAAAAGTTTTATTTTATTAAACATTCAAGAAGAATAAAGTTGCGAAAGATCAGTTTACCAGTTGTAATTTATTTTGATGCCATATATAAGAAATATACATCTCCATTTCCGTAACATAGAAAATGGAATTGGATATTTAGTCTACTTCAGCTTCTTCTTTGGTCGGATATTATTCGTGTGGCCACACTTCTTCTTACGGCAATTAGTCGCTCGTGGATGAAGACGAGCGTAACACTTGCGACAGATCATTTTGTCACAGTTGTATTTTTGCGCAAGTATACGCAGCGTGGGTTCAATGACGCCTCCTCGGAGACGAAGTACCAGATGAAGGGTCGATTCTACAAAAGAAAAGAGAAAGATACATTCTCATATACGTCCATAATAAGTCCTCCATTTATATTTTTTCAAATTTTTCAAAACTTGATGCCGTATTTGGAATGTTGTACTATAAAATTTAGCTTTTATTCTCATGATAACTTGGGCTGCGTTCAGAAACATCACCCGAGTGCTGAAAATCTATAGTGCACGTAAAATATGTTTTACAGCGCTCGGTTTCTGAATGCATCCCTGATAAAGATCAATAAATTTAATTTAACGTTACATATGTTCGCACCTTTTTGGATGTTGTAATCGGAGAGAGTGCGCCCATCCTCCAGCTGTTTGCCAGCGAAGATGAGTCGCTGCTGATCCGGCGGAATTCCCTCCTTGTCCTGGATCTTGGCCTTGACATTCTCGATGGTATCGGAGGCTTCGACCTCGAGGGTGATGGTCTTACCCGTGAGGGTCTTCACGAAGATCTGCATGGCGGTTTACCTGAATTGCAACAGAATCGAGAGAGCCGTAAGCTTTCGTTCACGATTAAATATCACGCGTGCAAGCGATGCTGAGGGCAACCTCGTTCGACGACTATCCGAGAGTGCTGCGAGACGTGATCGGAATCGTTTTCGGTTTGAAATTTCTATCGAGAGAGTAAATTGGATCGTGCGAGAAACAAACACTGAAATTTAGAATGATCCAAGAGACTTCAACGTTGACAACGCAGTGTCGTCACGCGTCGAGTCGCGTTTGTTTTTCAGATTCCACAGGCCACCTGTGTTCAATAATTACCCGGATTTTTTTTTTTTCAAAAAGCGAGTATAGCAAAAGTAATTGAGCTTACCACGAGACTGAAATAAATGAATACGTGCAGTTATGAGGGAAAATTCGGAAATAAGTGTCACGCTTACCGTTCCGACAACGTGCTGCTATCGAAACCAACCTAAAAGAACTCGAGCTGCTCGAGCATGGCCGCGCCGCCACTTCCGTCGACAAAGCGGAAATACGACTCGCGCGACATCTTGCCGAGCGAGATTGGGAGTTGGGAGTTTGTCGACTTGTGTGTCGTTTGGAAAGCATCCCATCGTGATCGTCCATCGTCCACGACCTGCGCAGTCGCAGCGATCAATGCTGTCGATAGTGTCGATTTAAGTATGTACATACGTCAACGAGACGAAATATTAATAGGCTGTGACTTCTGGAACGTTAGGTTTGCTCAAACACGTAGAATAGAATATATTTTCTATTACTTTCCATTTAATGACACAAAATATACATCGTTCCATCTTTCTTAATTGACATTCAATGAGTAAAAATTTGTAGAAAGAACTGTCGACTTGTGTCACTAAATGGCAAGCACTCATTAACAAACGATGCTAAACACGTAAATTTCAAATTAATGTTTCCGTTCAAGTAATTATACTGTGCTTAGAATTTGCTGCTTCGAGAAAATCGCGCGCGCGTGCTTTTTTTAACACTCCGTCTGTTCTTCTTCGAACAACTTTCTGAACTGGTGCACACTGGTGCAATAAGTTAGAATGAGACAAGCATGTTTTGTTTCGCTCCAACTTATTGCACCAGTGTGCACCAGTTCGAGAAGATCTTCGAAAAAGAACAGATATATATATATATATCATCCACGACCACGATTTTGGAAAATTCCGTATGCGTATTAAATGAATTGTTGCATCAATCATCAATCCACGCGGTTCTAACGTTTGCTAAAGCGTCTCGAATTCTGTACGCAAGATAATAGACACGGCGGCGATTAGATCGGTGACGCAGATACAGAAGTTCCCGATCTGATTCGCGCAGTCAAACGAGTCGACCAATCGCGACACGCGAGGAATTGCTGTCCCGGCTGCGATTGGTCGGCCCGCTTCTGTCATTTTTTGAACGCTTCTCAGTTCACGTTTCGCCGACGTCGAATCCTTCGGAAATCGCGGGCGTCTCTTCTCGAAAGAATTCCAAATCGCGCGTTTGGCCATTTCGGAACGCGTTACGATGAGTCACAAACGAATCGTAATTCATGTCTCTTGCGTTCGCAGGAAATTCACGTGCGCTCGAGTATCATGTAGAAAAGTGTCGTGGCATCCGTCGACGCGGATCGAACGCGATGCGTGAAGCTGCCATTATGCGCCGTTACAAAGTCATTCCAAGGGGGTAATTATTACAGTGACTATCGCTAGACGCCCGGTCCACGGAAACAGCTAACATCACGGAAGAGAAAAAGGTTCGATTTTTCCTTAAAAATTTATTTTTTATAAACAAATTTTTTAATTATTATTTATACGATTATTGTAGGAAAATATCAATATATTACTTTTAATTAATAAATAATATATATACTTTTTTTTATCTATTATTAATGTTTAAAAAGATGTGAAGAAATGATGTTAAGGTGTTCTACGCGTCACGTACTTTGCGAGAAGATATGTTTAAGCGGCGAGTGACGATCGTTATTCTTTATGAAGGTGGAAAACGAGAGAGAAGTCAATAACAAGCTCCTCGAGGGTATCTCGAGATATGTTTGCGTATTATCTCTCGCGGTAATACGTTTGTGCAATTTCGCACTTGCGACTGCAGGTATGCCCGCGCGTATACGTGCACGTCCCGTGTGCAAGTCCGTATCCGGCTTTCCGAGGGGAGACGAGGATCCCACGCCTCGGACCCGAGCGATATGCAAATTTCAGTAGTAACCCTTAAACTTTACGCCCTGACCTAGATGCTCACCTGTCTGAAGAGCAGCGGAGATGTCTCGCGATTATGCGCGATTTACCATGTCGCCTACTCAGTTGCAAACGCGAGATCCTCGCGGTAACGCCAAAGAGAAAATCATTAAGCATGTACTCTCGTACCGTCCGTTATTCATATCCTTCCGCGATTAATTGCAACTGCGAGAAGTGGACGAAAGGTGGGCATGAATTCGTAAAATAACCAATTAAGATTTCCAAGAACAGAAATTAATTTTAATATTATTAAATTTTTAAAATAAAATTAATCTTAAATTAATTGAGATAAGAAAATATATTTTCCATCTCGTTTAACACATATCAAATAAATTAGATGTTCAAATTATATTTAAATTAGATATTTACAAATCTTTTTTGTTCGAGATATATTGAACAAATTAGAGGATTCGAGAGTCAAACATTTCCAAATCTGTTTTATACAAAATGTATTGAGCGATGATTCAAATATATTCATAAATCTTTTGTTCTGTTTAACCTTTGTTGTGCACACTTCTTCGAAATTACGTATTATGCACAGGGGGTATGTCATACCCCAGTCACTTAAAACGTTTATTACAGACGTACAGTTCGTTATTTTGACTCAAACAAAATTGCTGGCTATTGTTCAAAGCTTCCAAAATAAGGTCTAATAGGTTTCATGAATATTTTGTAACATAAAAGAATTATAAATGATATGTGTTAACTAAAAAAACCGAAAAATGGACTTTTCAATAAAAAATGCATAAAAAATTCAATTTTTAATATTTTTTAATAATTTTTGCGGGATTACTTTCTTGAAATACTACACTTTCAAGGAAAAATATTAGTTTATAGCGGAGTTGAAAAAAATATATTTATTTTGCTATAAAGTCACGCGTTTTTCAACTTCTCACCACTGCCAAGAGCACTGCCAAGAGACTAAAAGCCGGGCGGGCAAAACTATGTATAGGTAACGCGTTTGAAAATACGCTGGGGTATCTCCGCTGGGGTATCCCCCGGTGCACAACAAAGGTTAAGTTATATTGAATAAATTGGGGACAATTTGAAGATCAGATACTTATAAATCTCTTTCGTTCAAAATATATTAAATAAAGTGAACGATCCGAGGATCAGATATTCATAAATCTCTTTTATTCAAAATGCATTAAGAAATTGAATGAGTCAAGGCTCGGATGTTTATAAAACTCTTATTCTGATGTTCAAGGATTGAATAAATCGAATGATTCGCGCGAATGATTCGGATACTTGTAAATCTTTTTTGTTTAAAATATATTAGATAATCCAAATATTGGATATTCATAAATCCTTTTTTGCTTAAGATATATCAAACAACTCGGACGATTCTCAATGATCGAAAAATTAGATTTTCCAGAACGAACTCCTTTCGCAATTCCCTTTCTAATTCGCCCACATTTTCATATCGCGATCATTTTTCCGCCTTTCTTCCGTCTGCGCATCCGCCGGACGCATTCCATAAACTCGAATGAGTTTCGCGATACTGCGAAGAAGAAGCTTTACGACTCTCTCTCTGTCTCCTCGAGCGTTTCGTTGAGAATTGCGCATTTCTCCCAAGTCACCGCGTTTCACGCCGGGGGGGGAATAGATAGGGGAAGACGCCGCGAGTTGGGGGAGGCGAAAACGCGAAAAGTGCTCTATAAATTTCGCCGTACAATGGAAGACCGTGGAAAATCGTCGACGGCCGACGATCGATCTAAGGTATTTGCGCTCGAACGAGTGTTGCGACACTTGTTGGCGCGTTTGAGCCCGCGTTTTCTCCTCTTCCACTTTTACTGTCGACGGAGATCACCGGCGTGTATCATTATCGTGATTATCGATCGATTTTCTACTTCCTCGCCTTCGGTGAACAATTACCATGACCGATCTATCACCCGGAGTGCCGAGCGATATCTAGGCCGAAATCAAATTGCTGGTCTCTCGGATGCAAAGTACGGCCGATAACTGGATTTTCCTTCGTCCAGGTGGACCGGTGCCGGTGGTGCGATTGTGAAGAGCCAGCAGATTGCGTAATCCGATGGATATATCAGAGGGATAGGAATACGCCCCCGCGTCCATAACATACACGTACCGAAGGAGAAATCGATGGGGAGTAAAATTCCGCTTCCTGACGACCCGGTGAGTACGAATTTCAATAGGATTTCATTTTACAACCGCTCGATAAGATATTGATTTCTCGGCTTGTATCTTTATTTCGTTTCATGGCGCAGATCCGCGCAGATCCAATGGATTATTGTACCTTAAATATTTGACAGCGAATAAATGTTTACCCCGTAAAAAATATTTTCCTCGTGGAAACAATAAGAGATAGAGGGAAGTTTTCGCTTCCGTCGTATCTCTCGATTCGCAAATAACGGCATGTTAGCGATATCAGCAGAAACACGGAAACAAGCGAAACGTATAGCGTATTTATGCGATGGCTTATGTATTGTAGTTGTGTAATGGGATCCGCAGCTTCTTACTATCAAATGCAAACGCGGAGCACCGTGCTCCGTTGTGTAAATAAGCTATGCTTACCGACGAGATAGCCGGCCGACCGGGCGTATCACCAATCATTTGCCTAGACTAATCAACGTGCCGCGCTCTTGTGACGTGGTTTAAATTAGAGGACGGCGCGGGGCTCGGATCGCCCTGGCTTCGGGTTGCATTTGAATTGTGTATGAGTAAGCCCGGGTTAATGGTTAAACCCGACACGTGTAGCCGACGTTCATTTCGGTATGACCCGCGATAAACTTTGCCGTCGTACACGGCCCTATCCCGCGGCATCTCGCATAAATAATCGTTATCGACTAATTGAAAAGGGACCCGATTACGGACAACGTCCGTGTTAATCCATCGACGAACGCTGCTCACGAAGATGTTCTCCGCTTCTGCGCCGAGATAACCGAGTTAATGATAAATTTACGCCCGAATCTAATCCGCCGAGGGTCATCGAAAACAAAAAAAAAAAACCGCGTTTAAAATCGTACATTGACGAATTCGCGATAACGGTGTTAGTGCGATCGAATCGCATTATGGCCATGACGCACGCGGCTGCCCTTTATTTATACGGAACTATCGTGCGAGAGCTCCACGGTAATATTTACTCTTCCCTCTAAAGGAAAGAGGATTTCAACCGCGGACAACGGTGCCGCTGTTATTCTCGAGAACCGTCGTAGTGTTGTTGCTCGCTCCCTCATCCCTTTCTTATCCGCCGTATTTGGTCGAGGGTATAGCTTGCTAGGGGATGAAGCAGCGTGTGAAGAATCTGTTCCGAACACGCGAGT